CTCGACAAGAAAATTATAAAAAAAACTCCCCAGAAATTATCAACTGTTTTTGTCGGGGGACGTTTGATATCACCTGAGCCATCAAGGCGTCCAGGACGTAGTCGTCTTGACATCCGTGGGCAGAGAGACTCTCCATAACGGTTCCCAACCCTCCCCGGATATGCGGCAGGACAGCTGATAAATAAATAAAATCCTCACATCTGCTTGCTTCAGTGAGTTAGCGCAACCAATTGCCATGGCAATGGTCGAAGCTTCGATACCCCCATAGACGAATTTTATTACCTAAAATGCTCGGCCGTGCGACAGACCAAATCGCCGGGTCCCGCAGCGGCAATTGGAGATCTCCGGCGTACTGAAATCAACAAGCAAATACCGAAAACAACGGAACGGGGTTTTTATCTTCTATTTTACAAATTCCTCGGATATTAACAAATCTCTGAGAAATTCTGAGATGTTTTCTGGTTTTTCTCATTGAGAAAAACATCTCCTGATTTCTTCGATGATTCTCATTGATAAATATGAGCTTGAGAAATGAATTATGTCACCTCTAAAAACTGCACTAGCCTCTTCGGACTGGCCGTCCCCAAAACGTCATCAGCACGCCCAGCCACAGCCGCCCACACGTATGCGTCTGCGTACCTTACTAAAACACGTCCCACCCAACTACGAGATTACCTCTACCCGATGCTCCGAAAGAGCCTCGTTGCCTCAACGATTTGAGTCGGATAATATTCTTCCGCAGATTGACCGAATCTCCGGGCGAGCGCTAAAGCGATAATAATTAATAGAGAATAATAACGAATCCATATTAGGGCATCCATATTCTTATTTCCCCAAACCTACAATTAAATACACGACTATTGATGAAGTATATTGTTATTAATAGAATATACAGCAGCTAGTAATGTAAATGCTATAGCTACCTATAGAATGGTAGTATGATGGCGTTTTACGCCATATAGTGGCGTCGTAATACTCTGTGAAAAACTAGGCGATAATGGCGGTAATATGCAGTAGCCGTGAAAGGAGGTGATATTGTGATAATAATAATTGACTTTAGACTCCCCCCCCACTCCCCTCCCTCCTCCCTTCCGACCCTACCGGTATAAAGAGTAGATGATTGGGTAGTAGAGTCGAGGCGGGAGGTGGTAGTTAGAGTATTCAGGACTTCTATGGGGTTATATCTAAAAGAGGGGCAGATATGCCAATGCTCAAAGATATGCCTTGTCTTGTGGGGCGGCTATGCCACTACTCCAAGATGAGCCTCAGTAAGATAAATTCCTCGAATCGGGGCTGCTATGCCACTACTCCAAGATATGCCTTAGAAAGATCGATCCCTTGAACCGGGGCGGCTATGCCACTACTCCAAGATATGCCTTAGAAAGATAAATCCCTCGAACCGGGGCGGCTATGCCACTACTCCAAGATATGCCTTGGAAAGTTCCCAAAGATATGCTTAGATACATTCGTGAAGAGAGAATGGATTGCCTCCCCTCCGCAGGTGTAATACTCATCCCTACTACTACTACCTCGCAGCTGCCGTTATGATCCCCATAGTCTCGATAGGGTCAAGGGAGATCTGTTGGGATACATGGAGGAATCTTGAACAGGAGAGAACGGGACGGATAATGCTGCTGCTGGTCGAGTTGAAAAGCAACATTGATAAATAAACTGAGTAAACCTAACGAGCTATTGTGTATCTTCCATGACGATCCTCTATTGGTTACCGTCATAGGCTCCTCCATCGACGACAACGCATCTACCCCCGGCCTTGTGAATTCATCGACAAACTCTGTTTACTCTACCATCCCCACTAAGCACAACACACTATAACAATATCCCACACCGCAAGTATAGCAGTCATATCCTGATCATCGTCAGCTCTAGACTGCATTTCGCTCAATGTTTGTGTTTTCAGGCGTGAGTGATACTGATTCCCCCATATCCTACAGCTCAATTTCAGCCTAGCATCGTCGTTATATTATAACGAATAAAATGCCAATACCAGGTCAAATTAACCCTGTATTTTACTAACCCTAAAAACCAAAAAGATTGTGATAGAGCCAACCGAGACAGCTTACGCAGTCCTATCTCGAACTCAGTTAAACTCAAACTGTGCAGCAAGGAGACTTACAACTCAAGTAGACTTATCTCCCCATACAGCGACCCAAGAGAAAGAGCAGCTACTCAATTGACCCTAGCTACCGGGGCCGAGTGTCCGCACCCGCGGAAGGTGTGCTTAAAACCTTTGCCAAGTCCTTGTGCCAAGGGGAAACGGCGCCACCATTATGGTGGATGCGAAAGAGTATCGTTGCTTCTGCCCGAGAGCAACAAGTGAATCCACGTCCTCGAGATAACACAATGACGAGCAAATAGCAGAAAGGTTATCGAAAACGGTATAAAACAGTCGCAAAAATTACAGATGGTATACTACCGTTGGTAGGCATCAAATCGCCGTGTACCCGAGAACGAGAATACTTTATATATATCGAGTATGTGCAGTAGTAAACTCATATGAGAACATAAACATCTGTAACAATCACAAGACCAATACTGTCGACTTCGAAAAGAACCTCTCCATTCGCTGCTATGAACTTTTTCATAACGATAATGTCCATCTCATCAAGGTGAGCAATATTACTGAGGGTACCGTCAATAGGTAAGTAGTCCACAGCTATGATATTAGAGGGCGAGAAACCATAGAAAGGAGACTCGTGTGAACCATACAAATCGTAGCTGATCCGATTATAAGCCATCACACTCCTTATGTGTGCTTCAGAGCATCCCATGCCTAACCTCAGAATCGCCTGACCATCGTATCCTTGTCCCGGAGGGATCTTCGCTCGAACATAACCGAAGATATATGTCACATCAAGACCCAACACACTGGTCGCTGGGGCACAAGGCGAATTCAGCCTTTTATAACCGGCTCCTACAACCACAATTCTAAGATGCTGCTCGTAGGCTAACTGTAATATATTGAGCCATCCTTCGAAAGACATACACGCAACGATTGCATAAGCATCTTCAATGCCGCCTGATATGATTTCCGAGCATTCTGTTCCTAGCTTGATCAGAAAGCCTTTTTCTCGTTGTAGACTGCTTCAATCTCGGGTATCGCAACGGAAACAGCTGTGAAAGGCTCCATTGCGCTAGGGGGATCTTCGCTCTCCAAATCTTTCCGCGGTGGGGATGATGACGATGCCGAATCGACATCGGTGGTATCGTTATGACATTGAGCCTCCGAGGACACTTCGACTTTGCTGGAAGAACTCAAGAATCCGCCCATTAAAAGAGCACTGGGATTCAACGTCTAAAGTGCCAAATCATGATTGATAGACTTGCACAGAACGGACATGTGCTCGTCCTTGCGTACAATGGTGTACGCGTACTCAGTTGTCATTCGCGCACGCCCAACATATGCGCGCATGTTGGTCCACTTGTGGACCAAGTTGTTTACACGGAACTGCATAAGAATAAGCTGAAAACTTGGTCTAAGCTTCCGTTTAG